GTGTTCAGTTGGCATTGACAAGTGGTTGTGCGTCGTTGTTATGGAGTTAACATTAGTTCATTTTGAGAAATTTATAAATGTTATTTAATAATTAAAAGAAGTTACAACGTAGTTAATGTTCCTTTATTTTAGATCTAGTATTGAGAATGAAAAAAAAATAATTAAAAATTATTTTATATTACTTTACACCCAAGACAAGCAATATAATATTAATACCTCTTTTTTATAAAGAAATTTATGAAAATAACTATGTTATATAAATTAATATAATTTTAATAATGGCATTGGTCATTGTAAAAGAATAAAGCAGTATGTCAAAACTCAAATTCAACTTTTATAATAAATTAACATTTATTGCAGTGCATAAAAAGACATGTTACAAATCCTCGCATGTGTTTAAGTTAAAATCACATTCCCAACTCAATTTTTAAAAGAAAACATGACATGCCATTCATATTTCCCGTTTTCAGTAAACAGAACGACTTGCTACATTTGTTTTTACTTATTTTGACATTATAGGCCATAACGTAGAGTTGTATTTTTTCTTTGTTGACAAAATATACTCTGTCTTTTATAATAGTACCATGGAAATAACTTTAAAAAAAATTACAAAGTAGCCAAGATGCCTTTTCTAGATGTTGTATCGTTGTTTTCGAAATATTCACCATAAAAGTTCCGTTCCAGAACCTAAAAGAATCTACTAATTTTACAAGTTTTGCAACTTTTTACTCAAAAACCATTCCTGAACCAACAAAACTGGTAAAACATTGATGGCGCAAACCAAAATGGCGTTGTCTTTGTAAACTTTTTACTCGAACAAAATGATAACAGGAGTGCCAACTTCTGATTGGCATTTATGTTGATTTTGAAGTATTGCTATCTAATGCAAAATTTACTTGATTGGACAAATTTTGGAAATTTACGTGTACACGTTTCAAAAATTTTATCAAAATATTCTTTCAATATATATCAAAATATTTTGATCAAAGTTTGATAAAAATGTTTTGAAGCTAATTTACACTATTGGTAATTTTTTTATTGAAAATATTAACTTTGAACTTCTGTTTTGATTATTTTGAGAAATAGTTTAGTATTAATAACTATGGACGACGACACGGTCGTCATATTATCAGCATATTTAATATTAGAGGAAGAAGTAGCTGATAACAATGGAAAAAAAGAAGAAAACAAAAGCAACAATGGGTTCGGCCATTTCATTTGGAAGGTGATGGTGTGTATGTTTCTTTTAGAGAACGATTGAAACGGAATGATCCCGAGCTATACAAAAACTTTTTACGAATGTCACCCGAAGATTCCGATTATTTGCTTGAACTAGTCACTCCATTAATAGAAAAGGACAATAATAATATGCTCCGGAGAACGCTCGATATGATCGATATGCAATATAGTACCTAAAGTCTGCACTGCTTTAAATAAAGTATTAAAAGATAAATTTTTAAAGGTAAACCGGAATTTATTACATAAAAACATATTAGTTCCGTTCCAGAACCTAAAAGAATCTACTCATTTTACATGTTTTCCAACTTTTTACTCGAAAACCGTTCCTCAACCCACAAAACTGGTAAAACATTGATTCAAATTTAAGAGAGCGCAAAACAAAATGGCTTTCTCTTTGAAAACTTTTTACTGTAGAAATTTGGTCGAGTAAAAATGGTAAACAGGAATGCCTACTTCTGATTGGCTGTTGTGTTGATTTTGAAGTATTGCCACCTATTTTTGGCATATTTACTAGATTTGCGTTCCCGAACTTTTCAAAGTATTTTGTACTCTGAGAGCAATTTTGAAATGTTTTCCTTTTACTAGATTTACTATTAAAAAGTACTGGAACAGACCAATTAAAAACAATATATATTTATGCAGATGCCAGCAACAGAGGAGGAATAGGACGGTATTTCCCAAATTATAAATAAAACTTGGAATTTTGAATATAGTACCAGCGCACTGTGTAAGCGCATATTTCAATTATAAAAGAAAAATATCATTGGGTTAATGCCTCTTGTGGACGCAAAGTACAATTTTGTTTACATCGACGATGGTGCAAAGGGCAGAGTGTCCGAGATGGACGATGGCGTGAAGAAGTGCGACCTGAGAATATGTTATCTTCGGTACAACCATTGTGCAACCAAAGGCGCCAAAGCGAAACATCCAAGCTTATTCGACAAGAATTCACGGAATATTTTTCAAATGAAGGAGAAGTTTCATGGCAATACAAGCATATCTATTAAAATATCCAATTAAAAAAAAGAAAAAAGTCAATTCATTTATTTGACAACTTTAAATTAAAAACCACATTCAGTTCACATATAAAATATTACAATAAAGTAAAAAAAAAAAACATTAAGTTAATTGTTTCCTCTGCTTCAAATGACTCGATGACATTATTTAATATAGTTCTCAGCCTGATAATAAAAAATTGTATCAAATATTATTTGAGTACCATTCATTTCAAATTCATATGCGAGCATTTGATTCTTAATATGGAAAAAGCTGCTGCCCAACATACTCTCCATAGCTCTTCTGCCAACTTATGTCTTCTTTTCATTGAGATACTTTCTGCGATAGAAATTGGCCATGTTCTGAACGTTGGCTGTCGATACCATTTACTTCTTGTACTTTTCTACGCTTTGCTGGAGTAGAACTTGTAATTGAACAGTGGGATTCCAAATTCAGAAACTGGTCTTTAACCTTATCCCAATATTCAAAAGCTGAACTTGATAAGGTCTTGAAGTTTGATTCTGTACCTCCTGATCCACGACTTCTCACAGTATCTGAAAAGTGTAGAGCTGCAAATTTTGATGCCTATTTACACGGCATCTATAAAATCTTCAAATGTTTTGTTCAATAAATGTTGAAGAAATTTTGCTGTATTTATTTTGCTGGAGGGTATAAAAAGATTGGCGAGGCCGTCAATAACGACGTTTCACCTTATTTATACACCCACCATAGTATGGAGGATATATTAAGTTTGTTTTTCCGTTTGTAACTCATCGAAATAATCATTTGCGACCCCATAAAGTATATATATTCTTGATCAGCGTAAAATTCTATGACGAAGAAAAAATGTGCGCCATCTGTTGCAATCACTTTAGTCTCTAAACGAATTGTGATAGATCGCCGAAATTTTGCATAGAGTTGTCTTTTGTCTGCAGACAGGTTAAGTTCGTAAAGGCGTTTTTCAACCGAATTCGCTGTAATTTGGTACAATGGGTTCCTATTGGGTACCAAAACTCTCTACAAAAAAAAAATAAATATCGGTACATTTTTTCTTTTAGCCTCTATATTACGATACTGAATTGACTGTACTTTAGTACTTTCAGTTCTTATTGGATAGCAACTATCTGCACGAGAAATTATAAATATATGTAATTTTTACGGTTAGCCCCGTATTTTGGGGCTTTGAACGTATTTGTCAACCGAATTGTTTGCAATTTAGTAATTTGAGTTCTTATTGAATAGCAAATCTCTCCATATAAAGGTATCCACAATTGCCCTTAAAATTGTAGTATTTTGAGGATTTTATACATATGATCTATCCATTCGAAAATAAGCAGAAAATATGTAGTAACATTTACTGATACTTCTTCAGAAATTATAAAAATCGGACGTTTGATCTAAATATCGGAAAATTATCTGGTGTTTAATTCGAAATTAGGAAATTTGTCGGATTTTTGATCCGAAATTCAGAAATATCAGGTGTTTATTTCGAAAATATGTTTGAATCGAAATTCTGAAGTTTGAATCGAAATTCTGAAAATAATCTGAATATTCTGATGTTTTGAAAAAAAATGATTTACAAGGAATTTTGTTTTTCTTAAGCGGCATTTACGTTATAATGTAAACGTACTATTAATAATCCACTTTATTTTTTATTTTCCTTGACTATTAGAAGGCGGCATTTGAACAATAGGAATGGAGCTTCTATTCCCCCTGATTGTCATTATTCTGAAGGTTATTGCGGGATTTCAAATTTCGGGATTTCAGATGATGAAAAGTTTTTGGACAGTGTAGTTCTTCCTTTTCATTATGGTTTATTGTTATAAATTTTTTCAATATTTTTTTTTTTTTCAAATCACATTTTCAAATTGTAGATTCAAAACAAACAAACATTTCGTTTAAATTTTTACCAAAAATTTCCTTTTAGAATATGTGCAGATCACTCGGACTATATCGAAAATTTGTTTTGTTGTAAGCAAAATACACACAATTAAATTGCCTTTTTGAGTATGTGTATGTGAGTACTCGGAAAATAATCGAAAAACGTTAGAGAATTCGGAAAAATGTGATTTAAGGCCCTTCGGAAAAAATTGGTATTATGATCATGAACAAAAAATGTATGTGTTGTCGGATTGAAAGAATATTTTAATCAAATTATTGAAAAAAATAGTTAAGACAAACTTTTCCCACAATAATTCAATTTAAATTTTTTGGACAATATACCACAACATTTACACTGGCAATAATGGTTAAAAACGTGTTGATTTAGAAGGCACAGTCTAAACGCTCCTATATTGCACTTCAAAAATATGTTACACGTCCTAATACAAGATAGATATTTATACATATTGTAATAGATCGCACTTCCGCTGCAACTACAATTAAAATGAACCGGCAAATTGTTGTTGTATTTATACTTTTTTTCATATGTATCCTAACTTAATGTAATACTCTTATATTATCAGAATAAACAAATACACAATTACCTGCAACATATACGTTGACACATACGTTACGCCGTACAGCAATGCATTTTGTGTGCCATAAACATATTGCCGCTAACAACTCTGTTAAGTACATTTTTAAGCAACACTGTATTTGCTTGTCAAAAGTCGACCTCCATATACCTATCATAAAAACCTGAAAAATAGCAGACGCAATAAAGAAAAAAAACGCAGCTGGTTTTTTCCATTGAAAAACTTCTTAAAAAACTAATAATAAACGAAAGAAAATAATATAACGAACGAAAAATCATAACAACAAGTGACGGCAATTAAAATTAAAGGTGTGTAGTGAAAAAAAATAGTGTTAATAACTAGAAAACAAAATACATATATATCACACCATCCTTCCGTTCGTTTGTCCTCCAGTGGAACGTGAGGGGAACAACATCGCTTTTATTTGTGAAATAGACGTGTTAAAAAAGTTGCTTCTTTATTGCAAAATATCATAATCTACATATGTACATATATACGTATATGAGTAATACAAAGATCAACGAAAATGAAAACAGTTAAAAGTTAATATATGTATATACATATATGTGGATGAATATACAACAAAAACAATTGTGAATGCTGTGTGTGACATATATTATTGATTATTCAACTTGAGCAAAAATATACAAGAAATCTGTCTTGACGATTGTCTTTACATTCGGCTGTGGTGGTATTTAAAAACAACAAAATTTGAAAGTCATTGAAAACATTTTGAAATTAATAATTTTTGTTATATTTATTCTTGTAGCTGTTGATTGTTGTTGTTGTCCGTTTCCCTAGTAGCTGGCAGCTTCATAGCTTGTTTGTTAATCCACGAAATTCCATTGAAATCAGCGATTTATCTCGAATTAATGCAACCCTGATTTGGTGTAGGTAAAAATATGGAATATTAAAAACAGCTGAAATTCTTCAGTTGTTTTAAAATGCTGGAAGCCAAAAACACCAGTGGCTTCTTTAAAATCAATATATTGTTGCCTGTACTCATTTGAGTCCAAAGTACGGTTCAATGTGTGCTTTGTACTTGTTTCGGTCAAATATTGAAATCTAGTAAACAACTGCGTTGTTACTTGGAGATTCCATATACCAGGATTAGCGTCTAATATTCTATATGGATTATAGTACTTTTTCTGAAATCATTGTTATTTTTTTATCAGCCACCTATTTATGTCTTGCATTACATCCAAATGATGCCTGCCTTTGCGCGCTTTATCATTCCCTCTCTCTTTCTCTCTCGTTTGTACACAGCATTTCATTTGTAAACAAAACAAAAGAAATTCAACAATTGTCAATTGTTTTCAAAAAAAAAAAAAAAAAAATATTTTTTTAAGAAGATAATATACATGCGTTTGCATTAATCAGAACATCCAAAAATAATCTCGAGAATACAACAAAAAATATAATGTAATTTGTAATTATGCATATATAATACTGGACAGACTTTTTGTGTGCGACTAACTGCATTGTTGTGAACTTTGAAGCGTGGCCTAAATTTTAGTCGTTGATTCCCAACAAGTAAATATTTAATTTTCAAATTTGTTACTTATATTTGATTTCATATTTTATTCTGTTGTGAAATTTCAGTTCCTCAGAGGCATTGATCTGCGGCAATATGTGCCTCCCCGATTTAAAAAAAAAATACATATATATTTTCGTGAAAAGTGTTATCTAAAATTCGACGTGCTCGGCCACCACAAATTGTTTACCACACAGTCAAAAACATACAACATTTTAGACGAGATTATAAATTGTTAGGGCAAATTTAATTGTTTATATCCTACACAAATATATTATCATGTTATTATACCTTTGTGTGGCCCCAAGAATATTTAAAGCCGCAAAATATTGGTCCCAGACCTTTTAGTATACCGATCGTCATAGCTCAACTAGCTGTGTTGATCTATATATGTGTGTCTGTCCGCTCGTCTATCCATCTATTTGGACCAAAGAAGACCCCTATTGTTTTTTGTTAACGATCCGTTAATATTTAGTTGATCAAATTGACCAAACACAGTTATTTTGTAAATTTTTCTGACCCCTACAGAGGCCACAATTATGACCCAAGCATTACCAAATTTTACATGGCGAAAAAGAGATTTGAACAAAAATGTTTCATTTCATAACGATTTGCGGAATAAATAGACCTAAGGTTAGGTTAATGGATGTACGGCTGTCATTTACCGAGATATACGATGTTTAAAACAGCGTAGAAAAGTTATTTATTTTTGCAATGTCAAACTATTAACAAAGATTATGAACTGCTTGGGATTTATTCCAGAGAACAATGCTATATTCTCAATTTCATATTTACCAAACTGTCTGTGATTTTTGTTAATTACCGATGGACACCTACATAGTATATGTTCAATTGTTTCCAGCTCGTTAATGTCCCATTTGGAAGTGAGTGATTTAATCCTGCAGTGACCCGTTATGATCCCCACAATGATTTTTATTTCCATCTTACAATGAGACAGCAGCGAAGAAGTTCAACGGCGAGAGATTTCTGGCCAGACGGCTTTTGTTGACCATCTGTTGCCGAATACCGCGCAGTAGCTCATACGGATAAAGTAGCCCATAGGGGGTTGTACAAATCCTTCAATCGGTAGATTGGATGGCTGGGACTCCCTCGAGCAAGCTCATCGGCTATTTCATTCCATTCTATTTAACTATCTGTCGTATATGACAAATAGTATCCTAGCACTCACGAACCGCTGCACTTAAGTCGTTTACTATTAACTCAAAGTACACGACTTAAGTGCATTAAAGCCCGCCTTACTATCAACATATATAGTCACCGGTCCTATGTTGTCGGCAGTAAGTGTTTTGACTACCTCAGCAGCTTTCGTGATTGCCAGGATTTGTGCCTGCAAAACGCTGCAAAGATCGTTATGTTTATATGTCGTTATGAGATGAAGTTTAGTCACTGATGTGAGTGCTCCTCTCTAGAAGGTCACAAACTGACGTTGTGTTTAGGATAATAGCATGACTAAAATTCAGCGACTTCCAGGCATACGTTTAACGGAGCCTCATGGCACATTTTGAAGCCTGGAATTTAACCAGAAAATCCAGGGGTTGGATATTCAGGATTGCATTCAAAGCTGCCTGTGGTGTGCCTCTTAACGGTCCAGTAATCAGGATCGACGCCGATCGCTGTAATTTATTTTGGCCGCATTGTATGCTTCTTGACCCCTTGCCACCATACAAGCCAGCCATATGTAAGAATGGGGAGTACAACCGTTATATACAGCCAGTATATGATCTTAGGTTTTAGTCCTCAACTCTTACCTATAGAGAGATCTTGCAGTAGTAGAGCGCTATAAAACCTTTCTTAGTGCATTTCTCTACATTCATTTTCTACATTAGTTTGTGGTGAAGGACTGTACCAAGGTATTTTGCTTCTAAAGACAGGGCTAAAGTAACTCCACCCAATTTCGGCGTTATTGTTCTTACAACCAGGAAGAGTCTCTCTGCCAGAGTTTGTCCACGATCCGTTGCTTCGCTTAGATTTTGGATCGTTAGATATTATTTATTTTACTAAATCTACTACTAAAGTCGTTTATTCCTTCGATTGACTCGCTATAACAAACCTAAGACTCACATTTACCTAGCTTGATTTCACTTTTGTACCTATTGAATTCTGTAAACGTCCCAATCTGTACTCATACGGGTAGACGGCGGAGACTACTTAGGGTCTCGAGCTATCCCTATCTAGTCTGATTGTCGTCATATTACTATTGCTGAAATTCGAAAGAAAAAATGTACCCAAACTATTGTGTGAAAATTGTAACATTTGCATTCTATATTTATTCCTGAAGAACATAGACCGGTAAAGTTGACATATCCAAGAGGGGTTTTTTTACGTATGTATGTATGTACTCGGATAGACGAGTTATACATATTTACAGAGAATATTTAGAGATTTATCTATTTATTTGTTTTATATTTCACATTGCCCAAGGATTAATAAATTTTTACAACTGACGGAATTCTGTTAATTGGCTTGAATCAAATGTAATTATTTTATAGCTACTATGCGGATGAACAGAAACAAGTTGATTTTTGTGACAATTTTTATTTACTACTTTTGGCATTATTTTGTTTTAGAGAAAGACCTGCCTTCGAAAGTCTGTTTTTACTAAAGCATTTCGAAGGCGGTATCCACAATAGATCGAAAATAGTCGCCATAAAATTTCCTATTTATTATTATTTATTAATTTGCGAGTAGCATATCCCCTGAAGATGTTCTTACATATGTAGCCTTATATGACGTTAAAAAAGATTTCCAAGCGCGTTGGTTTTGTGCGTATCTCCACCAATTTGGAAGACCACGTTCCAACATGTTGTTTTCTACTTGGTCTTTCGACCTAATTCGTGACCTTCCACTTTTACGGGAACAATCAGTAGGCTCGATTTTATATCCCTTTTGAGCTGGGACATTCTCATTCATTCGCACAACATGGCCTAGCCACCGTAGTCGCTGCAGTTCAATACGACTGACTATGTCGATGTCCGCCATCACAATCCTTCTCCGAAATTCAAAACTGATGCCATTCGTTTTATTTATGGCGGTACCAAAGTATATAAAATCTTTAACTACCTCGAAGCTGTAGTTCTCATGTTCCACTGTTGGTCCGAGTCTACTGGACATCTTGCGCGATGATACCATAAGCTTGGTCTTCTCGCCATTTACAGCCAGACCCACTTTGGCAGACTCCTTTTCAATTTGTTCAAAGGTGGCTGTTACCGCTCGCAATGTTCGACCCATTATATCGATGTCATCGTCGTAGGCGAGTAACATGTGTTGTTTGGTGTACAGAGTGCTATTTCTGTTCACCTTTGCGATTCGTAAAACCATATCCAGCAGGATGTTAAAAAGATCACACGACAAACCGTAGACATGGCTTTAAACACCTCTGAACGAATAGGGGTGTCAATGCGGCTTTATAGTCGACAAATAGGTGGTATGTGTTGATGTGTTTCTCGTGGGTCTTTTCCAGGATTTGGCGCAGAGTGAAAATCTGGTTTATGGTGGATTTGCCAGGCCTGAAGCCGCATTGGTATGGTCCAATAATGCCATTGACCATTGGCTTCAGTCGTTCACTATCTTTGGATAGCACTTTATATGTGATGGGAAGGAGATTCATACCTCTATAGTTTTAATGGAGTTGTCTTGCCTCCATTTTGTGCACGAGACACAGGTTGCTGAGGTTCCAATCATTGGGCTTGCATTCCTCTAACCAACTGTACTAATCAGCTGATGCTTGCTCCTGACCAGCATTTGACTACCGGTCTTGAATAGTTCAACTGGTAACCCCCGGCACCTGCTGCTTTATTAATCTTTAGCCAATTGATTGCTATTCTCACGTCGCCATTGGTTCTTGGGTATCGTCTTTCCCGCCACTATTTGATACCAGAAGTTTTTCAAAATGCACCTCCTTGTTTTCTTTTGGGTTGCTTTTTCATAACAAGTAATTAATATATTTTATAATTACTTTTGCAGATATAAAAATTTAACATCTTCTTGGAAAATGGACTCGGTTTTGAGTTCCGGAGGTTCCAACTCCTCCGGAGATAGTATTGGAGGTATGAGTAATGGTGGTCGTAACAATGGCAGGAATAACAATAAATTGCAACGTGTTGGTGGCGATACGACACAGGGTTCACATAGTGAAGTAAATGCCGAAGTTAAGAAACTATATCAGTAAGTAAATTAAATAATCCTACCAATTTCCATTAAAAGTTTTCAAATTCTAAATCGTAATGGAAAGATTTTCGTTATCTGTTAGTTCCTTTTCCATATTAATTAACTGTTCTGTTTTTGTTTTTCTAGGCAACTCTATGTTGTGGTCAAACAATTGGACGAGGAAAAGAAACAGATTTCCGGTATATCTCAACTTTTCCAAAATGATTTGGAACAAAAGCGGGCGCAAATTGTACAGCTATGCATACAGATTATCTTTAAGGATTATCAGTCGGTGGGCAAGAGGGCACGTGAAATAATGTGGCGTAAAGGTTATTATGAATTCATAGCTTTTGTCAAGAAGAATTGGGCCAAAGAGCTTAAGGATCAATCTCAGCCGGGAGCCCAGGAGAATATACAGAAAATTGAGAGATTCCTTTGTGCTGGTATTTTAAATTATAAACGTATCGCCGCCAAGATGGAAGAAATCTATGACTTAGATTTGAAATACCTAATCGATTTTACCATCATCAGTGATGCCTATTTGAAGGAGATCAAGGATAAAGAAAAACAAGCCAAAGGTGATGGTTGTTGTTTGGATGTCGACGATATTAATAATTATGCGGTTGATAAGAGTTTAGATGCCATATCATTTGCCTTGGATAGCATCCACTCGTCATTGCTAAGTTTGGGTGATTTACATCGTTACTTTTTAGATTTCCGTATTGATACGAAATTGAAAATTACCAAACAATTGGCGGCGAAATATTATTTTGAGGCATTCAAACTTAATCCCGCCATTGGTATGGCCCAAAATCAATTAGGTACATTGTATTATGGCCAGAATTATGACTTGGATTCAATTTATCATTATCTGTACTCATTGGTCAGCCTGATACCCTTTGAGCTAAGCGAAAATAATGTTTGCAAGCTATTTGCTGCCCACGCTGATTATTTGACAAAAATGGATCCGGATAAAATTGAATTTAGTCTGCAGGATTTCTATGCTCGTTTCTATTTAATTGTGGATATATTCTTTTTCGATAAAGAAGTACCAGATTTCAATTCCCTGTGTCATTGTGTTTTGGTCGATTTGCGCAAAATTTTGTGTTCGAAAACTTTCAATGTCAATGATTCGAGTATCTTTAAAATTGTATCGATTCTATTCTTTTGCCTCTCCAAGCTGAAGATGATAAATTCCCAGAAGGTATATTCCCTGAATGCCTTCTTGGTGGCCGTATGCTCCGACCTTATGGATGCCTGTATTGTAAGCTTGGAACAGACCATATTGGCGAAAACTTCTGAAAATGAACAATTCCATGCCATGTACGCAAAGAAATTCGAAGAATTCGATATGATGGTACGTAAATCACGTAATGAATATAAAAATTGGTTATCCACAATTGGTGAGGCAGAACGCAAGGAGAAGAAACAAAATCAGCAACTCTCGCAAAAAGATTTCTCCTCCGATTCGAGAGAATCACAGCGTTCCCATGATGATTATATTTGTAAAAATACTCAGGATACCAATAAGACCTCTAAGGATGATAATAAAAATGACGGTGAACCAAATTCGACACGTTCCTCAGATGAGGCCAAAGAAAGTGATTTAAAAACACCACTATCGTGTAAGAGTAAGAAGCGTGGTATGAAATTAAGACGACGTCGCCGTAAAATTGCCCAATCGGATGATAGTTCCTGTTATGATACAGAATCCGATATGGATACCGACTTCTCCACAGATGAGGAAGACTACACCGATTTGAGTTCGAATTTTGATACTGATTTTAGTGATATTGAGGCAGCTGAACCTGAACCAGAGGTGGAAGCGGAACAGGGTGTTGAAGGTAGGTTTAAAATAAATTCAATATTTTCTTTTGAAGCTTCGTCTAACAATTTTTCTTTTTGTATATTTTTTAGATGTGGAGTCCAGCAGCAAACATAAACATAATAATTTGTGCAATAACTCCCGTCATGGCTCCAAGGAAAGTGTTTATACCAATGGCAGTGCTGGTCCAAACTTCTCGGATAATGAGGACATTGTTATCGAGGAGGAAAATATCATCTACCCCGATCAGGAACAAGAAAAATTGGCACATTTAACAGCATCAACGGCTGCCCGTACCAGCTCACAAGATATCGACTCCGAAGAGCTGTTGAAAAGTTTTGAAATTCTTCAATTAAATTCAAATAATGCTGCATTGAATTTCACCAATTGTGATCAACATGATGATACCCCAAAAAATAACTCAGGCAAACAAGCCAATGACGAAATAAAACCTGCGGGCGAAACCGGTGGAGAACCACCCAAGAAAATGGTCTATCGTAATAAGTATACCAAAATTAATCCCAATACTGTGGTCGATTTTGCACGCAATGAGCCGACAATAAGAGCTCTGAAAATCCTTTTCGATTGGTTGCGTATTAATCATGAAATTCTATTCGGCTGTTATCATTCGAATCCCGAGTTTATACATAAAATAATGAAATTATTAAATTATTGTAACATTGATATCTTTACACGTAAAGTATTCTTTGAGCGAGAGTTTCTCACGACGCCCAATGTTCGTCAATCGTTGTGTGATCTATTCGATGTACGTGCAAATGTCCCCCTCTCCGAGGATTTTGTTTTTAAAAGTTTCGATATTTTCCAATCGACACAAATCACTTTGGATTGGGAAACAACCATACGTGAGAAAGTCACCGCTGAAGAAGAGTGTATTTTGCGCATTTTCAAAATGGTCGATTTCGGTTTCTTCATCTGCAAACAAAAGAAATTCAATTATCGTTTCTGTGTTAAGGCTCGCCGCTTTACCGAGAACACCAAAAAGAAGCGTGAAGAGAAGAAATCTTCGTCGCGTCGTCGTGAAAGACGTACTGCAAAGAATGCTGCCCGCAAACGTACCGAAGGTCGCACCCGTCGTTATTCGGATCGTAAAAATGGTATTGTACGTAAAAGTTATACCAGCAATGAAGAGAAAGACACCGTGGAGGAATGTAAACGTATGCCACGTAAAGGTTATCTACGCAATCGTAATGCCGAGAAATCAAATAGCAATAATGCTACTGCTGGTGGTGGTGGCGGTACCTCAGCATCGACTACCACAAATAGTGCAATTTGTGAAAAGATCCAATCAAGCAGTGGCGCCGATGAAGAACGTTCGGAGGCCATGTCAAAGAAATGTGAAATTATGGGCAAATTGTGGTTGAAGAATGAAGTGGAAACATTGGAGGAGGAGGTATGTAGAGAAGATGAGATAATCTTGTATCAAATAAATATTGTTTGATTTTATTTCTTTTAGCTCCGCAAAAACCCCATGAACATGATCATGACTCCATTTTTGGTGGTGGACGCCAAGGCCTTGACCGAATACAATGGCATTGTTAAAAATCTAGTTAAAAGCAAGAAGTTTATAGTGCTTATTCCCAATGCTGGTAAGTGCAGATAATTCGGATATGTAATAGGGGTAATACAGCAACGTTCGTAAATAGTGTGAAAGGCGATGTCATGCCTTATAGTAACCCTCGGAAGACGAACTGGGATAAAATAAAGCTAAAACAGTATTCACAAAACTTGGTCGCATAGACCTCAGAACGATTGAAGATGCTGAGAAAGCTGTGAACTATGTCACGGGAACTCTTTTGAGGAGCTATAAGGTTTATTGGCCTTTGGCATACCCTGGGAGGAAATCTCAGCCGGTATGGTGGTCTTAAAACCTGGCATCCTTGAGGAAGATTGCTAGGAAATTTTATACTAAAGCCAGTAAGACGAAACTTAGTATAGATTGAGACGTTTATAGAGAACAATTCAATAGGTACAAAAGTGAATCTGCTCCATAGAAAGTGCTTTTAGTTAGCAATTGAGGTCAACCATGGCATAGCCCCTTACCATGACAAGGACTTGGAAACTAAGCCTGAATAAACTTGTTGAGGCGCCCAGTCGGTACCCTGACTGCAAACCAAAGAACGCTGATGGGCACGAGGTCGCATGACACCCTAGCGTTAGGGGGGTCAGTGACCCAGACATTTGTGATGGTTATTTAGGAGCGCCATTCTCGCCTCGTCAGCTCAGGCGCTGATGAGCCCGCTGATTGTCCGCTACTGTTAATTTGTTATTCACAATTACCAAATGAATAGTATTGGGCTTCCCACAATCCGCAACCTGTGGACGCGTCCGTTAGCATTTAGCTCTGTTCCCCGAAGGCGGAAGCACGCGTACTATTAATTCAAAAGCGGTTCGTGACTTCAAGGATGCTCTACTTGATACACGACAGATAGTTAAATTATGTTGGGTTCCAGGACACAGTAACATAGAAGGGAATGAGATAGCCGATGTGCTTGCTCGAAGGGTTCACAGTCGTCCAATCTACCGATTGAGGGATCTGTACAACCTCCTTTTGGCTACTATTTTGGCAAAATCCGTATGTGCTACTGTGAGGTAGTCGGCAGCAGATGGTCAATGGAACCTGAATAGATCTCTCACTTCCAAAGGGGGGCATTAATGGAGACATGTGAGGATGAGGTAGAGCTGGAAACAATTGAACATTTACTCTGCCGATATCCATTGCTAATTAGCAGATGACACCGACAGTTTGATAAATATTGATAGTCTAGGATCAGCTAAGCTGATCCTTAGCTTTTTAAAAACTTTGACATGGCTAAGTTTTTTTTTCACTGTTTCTAAACTTCGTCTATCTCACAATTATAATCCGAATGAGATGAAATTTGGCACAGCTCAAGGACGAACCATTTTGAAATTAGAGAAAATCGATTCAGATTTAGATATACCTCCCACAGATGCAACAAACTTCACAGTGCATTAAGTACAGCTAGACGTGTGTAAGTTCCGTTGAATTCGGTTCAGATTTGGATATAGGTACCATATATAGTTTCGTCCGATTTGATGTAAATGGTGCATCAATACTTGTCCGCTGGCAAAGATTTTTTTCAGAGGGCGGTGCGAACACTCAAATAGCTCTTTAATTCATATTTGTTTTGAAATTTTAGACAATTTCCCAATTGTTCACAGTTGCGGAACTTTAAAGTGCTCACTTTGTTGTAATATATTTTCTTATTATTTTAATTTCTACTTTTTAGTTTTTAACGAATTGGATGACCTTAAGAAACGCAGTGAGAATGCCCGCAATGTCATACGCTGGCTGGAGCAAGAATTCAAACATGGCAATCGCCATATGCGTGCCCAACGGGATAATGAAAATTTGACACTGTCTTTGATTAAAATACCAAGGAAATTGGGTAAGAATTTATTTTACAAAACATTCTGGGGAAAACGATTTTAATTATAAAATTCTACTTCTTTATCATTTTCAGATCGCGATGGTTCGGTCTTTTTACAAATTGCCCAATTTTGTAATCATTTGGTTGCCAATCATTCCGATCCCAATGCCACCGAATTTCAACCGAATGTCGTTACCTATTTATCAGGCGATTACTTGCATGAAAAGCAACGTAATCAAAATAATTTCAGTTTTACTGGAATTCTGGATTCGATACCAGTGCGTCATGATCAAATTGCAAATTTCTATGCGAAATTTAAGGCCAATAAAAAATGAATTCAATTAACGACGCAGGAATAACACCTGCATGGAAGAAATGCGCCGTTGTCGTCTTCGTCGTCGCCCTATAGCTGTCGTATCGAGTATAAACATACAACACAACAACAAACAACAACAACAAATAAAAAACAAATGTCAACGTGAACGTTTATGAATTTGTGGGAGGAAAAACAAAATGTCGTCGCGTCGTCTCCTATCCCCAAAATCAAACAACAACAAAATTATCAAATCAAACAAAAAAAACAAACCAACAACAAATACCAAACAACAACATCAACCATGCAAAACATAAAATAGAATCGGTAATGGGCAAGAACAACAGCAACAACCAACCAACCAAACGCCGCCAACAACAGCAACATTTAAAACCCTTGTCGATTTTATATCAAAACAAAATTATGTACCATGTAAGAAGCTGCTGCTGCTATAGCTTAGCTTGATTTCAAACAACAGGAAAAATTCTTAAGGATTTCAAAGGATATCTGGTGAGGATTTTGTGTGTTTGTGTAAAGCCGAGAGAAGAATTGTAGCAGATGCGCCTAACAAAACAAAATCGAAGAACTTGAATTTTGCGTCGTTTAAAAACAACAGAATGCAAAAACTTCAAAATTTTTGCCAACCAAAAAAAAGTGTTTTTGAAAATTTCCAGCTAAACAAAAATCAATTTTCATATTTTTTCTAAGCCAAGTTACAGGGGTATGTTTTGATTTTTTTTAGAAAAGAAGAAGAACAAGAAATTCATAACCACAGCAAATCTAGAACAGCATTACAATAGAACCGAAATGGAGTTATGGAATATTGATATTTGTTTTTAACAAATTCCTTATTCAAACTACCATTATTACTTACAAATACAAACAAATAGTAATCCTACATGGCATATTCCATAACTTGCAATTAGTTAAAAAAGAAGGGGTAAATTTGAACACCATCTCACCAACCACCCAATGGTAAAATGTAACTGGAAGTTTTGCAAAACAAAAAAGAAAAACATGCCTTTGGAAAAAATTAAAATATCTGGTGGAAGCTTAAATTGTTTTTTGTGTAAAAAAAGAATAAAAAAAATTTATTTTTTTCTTTTCCAAACAAATCATTTAGAGGGATTCCTTTGAACTTGAGTAACAAAAATAAAATTGATTTAAGCTTTCTGCCAGATTATTGTTGCAACGACTTTGTTGTCGACTGGCAATACTTTTTGGGGTTTCAAATTGTTTATATTTTTTTATATATCAATAATACAAAAAGAAACATAACGTCATGTCTCTAACGCAAAGCAAAGTAGTAGTTATTGTAAAACCAGTAAAAGGGAAAATAGAAGATATATAGCATCGCATATATATTCTAGAAGGGAAACAATTTCATAATTCTCAAAATAGCAGCGTGTTTTTTTAGTTTTCTGTATAAATAATAATGATCATCATTCACTTCTTCAGATAGTAGTACTAGTGTAGTAGTATGTTTAGCTTCAATAGTTTTTTCACATGCCACATTTTTTCCGTTTTTCAGATTTGTCTTTAACAGATTTTTTTAAACAAACAACTTTGCACCATTTTCGAATTTAATTCTGGGTATTTTAAAAGGGACAAAAATAATTGCCTGTCTTACTCTTTTTTAAAACTTTTGGATTTTTAAAAGAAAAAAGAATTGGATATATTTGATTTTTTTCTTAATTTAGTTATGCACTGATATGTGCATAAATTCGAACTTAATAAATTAAATAAAAATATATTTATTTAATACAAAAGTTGTTTAATAAAATTATAAAATTTAATGAATTTCAAAATTATATTTTATTAAAATTAAAAAAAAACAATTCAAATATTCCTAATTAACACTCCATTTTAATTTATTAACTAAATCAAATGCTTCTACACTTTCAAACAACTTTTCATTAGTTTTAAATTTCTCATATTTTTTAATCGTCGAATTTCTTGAACAGTAAAAACATAAATTTGATTTTAAAACCTTTTCAAACTACGTTTTATTAAAAGAATGGACATAGTTAAATTTAAATATTTCGAATTAAAACTCATCTATTTATAGTGAACATTAAATTAAGAAAAAAAAATCAAATAAAAAATATAAATTTTTTTGTTCTTTTAAAATATGCAGAAGATCTAGAAATTAAATACTTTCAACTTTCGAGTCCCAATACGAATGCTAAATTTTGATTTTTGTTTACTAATTCCAAATTTCGAAGATTAAGAAAACATTTAAATTGAGGCTTAAAATGCTTAATTTTTTTCTAAATCAATTTTTAAATTTTATAAAAATATTTTATTAATTTTTTTTTAAATAATATACAATTTTTAAATTTTCCTTATTTATATTTCGAATTCAAACAATTTTTTAATTCATCTCAATTCATTTTTTTTTGGAATACGAATACAATTGCTTGATTTAATAATCAATTTTATTTTTTTACTAATTCCAAATGTTGATGATTACGAAAATGTTTAAATGGAGGCCTAAAAATATTTTTTATTTCCCAAATAAATTTTCAATTCTATATAAAATATGTAATTCAATAATTCTTTAAATTCCCCCAATTCAATTTTTTTTTTCGATTATTAATTGAAATGCTTTATTCGTATCTAAAATATTTAGAATTAAATTGGAAAATGGTGCAATTAATTTTCTATAAAAAAAATATTTAAAAAAATTAAAAAAAAAAAATATTAGGTTCCAAAAAAAACCTCACACACAAATTTTCTATTTTCCCTTTGGTTTTAATTTTATGTTAAATTTATATAAATATGCTAAAACATTATTATTTTTTTCTTCCTTTCAATTTGTAATCATTTTTAATAAATATATATTTTCATTTTTTTAATATTATAATTATTAATCTTATATCATTATTACTAATAATAACAACAACAAAAATATTATTTTATTACACCCAAGAAAAACAAACAGTAATTTAACTAAACCAAACAAAAACAAAAAAAAATATGACAAAAAATATTATTTAAAAAAAATAATTCATTTTTACACCTTCATCTACCATACAATATTGAAATAGTTTATTCCAATTACCATATACAAACATACATATAAAAAAATATGAAATACTATCTGTTGGGCAGAATTCATATTTAAAAGTTTGAAAAATAATTTACAGGACTTGGTTATGTGCTTTATAGGTTCTACAATGGTTATTTCGAGGAGACCAAATAAAAAATGAGTTTATTCTTAGAACTAAAAGAAGTGGATGCCACTTCCCTAAAAAACTCTCTCTTTTATGTAAACAATTTATCCCAGAAAGGGCAATCTAAAGTAGTACTTGCGGTTTGTCGTTAGTAATTTAGGGTTGTCCTTCTAGAAATCTAATAAATTTTCCATCAAAGAAACAAAAGCTTTTGAAAGTGTGGATATGGAGATGAGCGAATTTATTATCACACAGTCTTGTGGAATAATGTAGAGGTAGAGAGGATTGAACTGATTATTTAAGATCGCCAGGAATGAACTCAGACATCTCCTCGAATTATTCATTTTCTTGATCAGGTAAAATGGTTTAGCCACGTCAGTCCGTTGGAGTGTATGTAATACGGGTTAATGACACAAATTGATTTTCTAATTTTTAACTTCTCGAAATAAAAATAATTGGCGAGCCTTGTCTATTCTTGATCAGCAAAAATTCTAATACTTCTTAGCCATGTCCGTCCGTTTCTAATCACTCTAAATTCTCAGTCAGGTCAGTAGTCAGGTTTGAAGAAAAGATCACTTTATGCCATAGGACGTGCCAGTCGATTTTCGGTATTTATTTTTTTTTCAATGACGGAGAAAAATAACCTAAATTTGAAACCGAATTGCCGCCAGTTCTAACCGCCGGATTTTGTATTTTCGAATACATCCAGGGTTCAACCACATTATGAATGACTTGGCATTTCTGGTGTTAAGTTGATAAGAAAACCCAAAATATTGCAGTTAACGTCCAATTTTTTAGATATTTGGATTTTTTTTTAGGCCACATTTACCACCAAAGATGTGTGTAGTTTAACATTTCTAGTTTCCAGTATGGTAAAAAGTCTTAAAGTGATATACTCATGAAATTGTTTCCTATTTTTTTTTAACTTTTAAGTATGAAATCTGCCCAGTTTTTTAACAAAATAAATTTGTATAATTAATTTTCCATTCATTTTTATGTTATTGAAAACACCAATAGGCAAGATAAATTTGTTCCATTTTAGACAAGGTTTTTTTTTAATTGTCTAAATTCTGTAGATTGTACGCGAGAGAGAATTGAGGGGAATCATAACCCTTCATCTTTGCGCACACACAAACTGCGAATGTTCACAATTAAATTTACCTAATTTCTTTATGACCAATAACACATAGCTTAATGGATATACTCACATATGCAATGATATATTGGCATATATATAATTGTGTGTGTGAGAACAGGGAACATATAAGGTATATTGGAATTATAAAATACTATTGGGAATGGATGTAATCCTTATTGTTTATAAAACAAAATCGTATATAGCATTTTCAGATTAACCGATAATTTCTACTGTGAAATTCGAAATTAATAGATTTCGGTGAATTACTATTACAGTCTGATTCTGTAAAAATCGAAATGAAAACATTTGAGTGAAATACTTTTACCTATAAAAAATTGGTGATTGATTCAAAATAATTATAACTGGAGTTTGGTTTTAAGTCACTCGAATTCATTCGTTTCGAATAGTTCGGAAACAGGGTGTTATAATTCTTGATTGAAATTCGAATTTTATAAAAATCGTATTTGAAATTTATTAATTTAAAAAAAAAAAATTAAATATTAATTACATATTTTTTGCAGGTTTCTTAGATTCAAAATCTATTTAAATACAAATTTAATATATTGATTCCTTTTCATATTTTTTTTATTGAATTTTAAACTATTATTGTATATGATTTTGTTTTATATCCAAAAGAATTACCTCAACTTGCAATTATTTATTTTATTATTCTTGTTTTTTTAATTATTTCTGTATACTCACACTCTGAATCTTTGTGAATTTGTATGTAACCATGAGCATGAAAACAGAATAGACTTAAAATTCCTTTTAAAATATCTACTTAGAAATCCTTTCATAGTAGATTTATGAATATTCCCTT